CCTCAAGGGAACACGCTCGAGGATGCTGAAAATATGTTTGTGGAAGAGGGGCGTCATGACTCTCGTGCGAAAGGGGATAGTTGTCAGGGGGATCGGTCGGGTGACGCTGATAAATGTGTGTTAAGTGATGATAAAGAAGAGACCTCTACTGATGGTTCCGGTGACCGTGTTGAATCTACATTCAAAAGAAGGACCAGTCGACGTGTGAAAAAAAATATTTTGGCTTCGTCCGACGCCCTTGAGCCCACCCTTCGTGATCATCGGGTGACTAATTTATTAGTCATGAAACTGTGACTTAGGTTCTGAGAGCACTTCGCACGATCCTTGCTGATGTGCTTTTCGGCGATGATCGTGATCCGTGTTTGAAGTCCCAACGTGGTGAAGGTGAAGGAATTGCTCATGCCCCGTCCCAAACACGAAATTGTGCGACAGTTGTTGAGGTGCCCGATGATAGCAATCCCCCACCGCCAGTTGCACGTGTTCCTCATCCGTGCACTTACCTCTCTCAATGGTTTGATGATGCAAAGAAGGTTGGTTTGCGAAAGGTCTTGAATGAGATTTTTTTCGAAATGTTTGTGAAGACTGCGACAGTCGTGAAGGATGAACGGATATGGGGAAAATTCCTTGATTGGCAGAGAACAAAACTCAGTAATATGCGCTTGTAACGAGGATCCTCTCTGCCCTCCAATCCGTTGAATATTTCGGATGTGGAGTCCAGCTGGATGTTCCAATCCCTTCTGCACGATGAGTACATTGCGCTCTCCAATTAGGAGATTGTAAGAATGACATTTGATTTGCCCTATTGTCCGACGGATGGGAGTATTCCGGAGCCCTTCTTCAGATATGCTCGCATAAAAAGTCTCATCAAAAGAATTCCTGTCGGTGTTGCTTCTTCCGCTCCTCCTTCGGCCACTGTCCGTCCACTGTCATTACCGACACCGTCTCCTGCGAATTGTCAACGTCTTGCAGATTATGCTTCGCCGTCCAATGTGGGAACGCCCATCGTCACTGCTTCTATAGTTGTTTCTACTTCGCCTGCCGCTATGTTTACTCCATCTCCTGCTCCTTGCGTTGTCCCCGCTCCTGTCTCACCAGCTTCACAACTGCATGTCTGTATAGGAGGTTTGCCAGAAGTCACTCCTTCTACTTTTGATATTGCCGTCTATGAGTCTCTTGCATCCGTTGGTCTCAAAAAAGTGCATGCGCATCTCTCCTATCTTGATAACTCTCACAGGTTTGCAAGCGACTGAGGAGTTGCATACGGATATGAACACGTGGAGGTTTGTTGATGATGCCATCCATCTTGACTACCATCGGCAGCGACAAAGTCGATTTCAAACTTTTGAGGATTATCGCCAGAAAGTGCTGCAACAGAGTTCTGTTCGTGACACGTTGCGAGAGTTTCGTTCCACTGATGGGTTGATTGCTCTTACAAAAGATGGAGAGAGAGAGAGAGAAAGAGAGAGAGAGAGAGAGACAACAAAAGCAGATAGATAAATAGATAGATAGATAGATAGATAGATAGATAGATAGAGAGAGAGAGAGTGAGAGAGAGAGAGCAAATAGATATTAAATTGTTTTCTTTTAATAATATGGAGATGGATTGTACTTCGTGCTTATTGTGCCTTCATCATTTTGCATGATCTTCTTGACTTGAATGATGTTTTTATTTCTTTGTTCTTTGCATTCTTCTTTTCTTTCTCCTCCGTCTCTCTCTATCTGTGTCTCTCTATCTCTCTCCCTCCTCTCTCCCTCTCTCTCTCTCTCTTTCTTTCTCTCTCCCTTTTTGTGTCTAACTATGTGTGTTCCGTTTCTTGAATTTGTTAACAATGCTGAAATTTAGCAGTTGGTTTGGGCCTGATTTTTTTTTTTTTTTTTTTTTTTTGCGGGCATTTCCTGCACCGCCCGCACCGCGGGCGCTTAGCTAGTCGATATTATAGCTGCGCTTTATGATGGCATTGCGGGAGGACATCGGGGAGTTAGTGCCACGCATGCCAAGATAAGCGAGTTATACTATTGGGATGGAATGATGGAGATGGTCAGTAAGTTCTGCCGTTCCTACGTACCTTGTCAAGAACGGTCTTCTCGGAGGCCAAGGGAGCTGCTGCATCCGAGGTTAGAAAGGGAAGTGGGGGCCGTAGTATATCTCGATTTACTCGCTTATCATGGCTACAATCTGTGTGTTCGAAACTGGATTCAACGCCGGTGCCGCGTTGAAAAATTGAACACGCGTTGAATTCGTATTCAATCCCCGTTAAAACGCGCGTTGGACGCGAATAAATGGGGTCCGCGAACCCAAGTTCCGCGCGTTTGGGGGGGGGGGTAGGGGTGGGGTGGTAGTGTCCGTTGTCGAGTACCACCCCATGCATTCTTTTTTTTTTTTTTTTTTTTGTAAAAAAAAAAATGAAAAACCCGCCCGAACCTGTTTGCAGGGTACCGACCTTCGCAGCCTGATGGGGGGTGACGCAGGGGGAACGGGTACTAAAAAGCCCATTGCGTTCGCCCCCAGCCGAGAATCGGCAGGGCTCCCATGTCCCACCAGAGACATTCGTCAAATTTGGGATGAGAGAGGAGTAGGCCAGCAATATATCTTCTGGATCCGAAGTCAGGTCTGCTTTCCAACATTTATGGGCTACAACTACTTACTACCGTAGCTCGCTCTTTCTTTTGTTTTCCTTTTCCTACGAGCACCTCCACTCGTCAGCACTTGCACAAAAGACAAAACATATGGCAGTGTATGATTCCATGTTCTAAGAGAAGATTCATTCGAGTTTTGCACTTTTTTTTTTCTTTTTCTTT